TTTATTTTCGCTGTTTTGTTGTTTGGTCCGCTGCCGTGTTTCAATTGTCAAAAAAATCTTCTGGCCGCCTGCCTTTTAGTACTAGAAGAAGAACTACAACAAAAAGAAGAAAAAGGTATCCACCACACAACAGACGAAAACGACGGCGACTACGAAAAAGAATTATTTGCTCGCTGCTGCTCCTCTTAAGTATTTGCGCTGCTGGTTTTTTCGCTGATTTCTGTTTTTTTATCTCGTGTGTGTGATTTAGAAATAATTTCGATTTCTTTAAAATAGAAATACTTTTATTTTGTAATCAAGAAAAAAAAACAGATTTGCAAACTTAAAGGAATTTTTGCAAAACAACACAGACTGTGTGGCGGCGCTTCAACGCGGTGAAGTGTGTGGTTGGTTGTTGGTGTTATTATTATATACAAAACGAAAGTAAAGGTATTACGACGAAGTAAAATTCCTTAAGTGTTTTGAAAAAATAATAAAAAAAACGTTTATTTGTTGCAAACAATTTTTAGTTGTGATATAATCCATTCATTCATCCTTTGTGTAAATGGTGTACAGCAACGTTTTGTAGAACAATAACAGTTTTGGAATTACTTTTGGTGTTCTACAATGAAACAAGGATAATTGCCTTTAATCTACTCTGAAGAAATGTATGTATGTACGTGAGTGCGTGTTTGTGTTATTACTGTGGGCAAAGAAAAAAAATTGAGTTTTAGTATTCAAAATAATGCATTCAAATACTGCGATTTAAATAATACAATTTTGAATGCAAAAACTTTTCATTTTATAAAAAAAATCCTTTTCATTATAGAAACACATCATAAATTTCATCACAGGAGACCCAGCTGATTTTTTATGCTTCATTCTTTTTTTCTCCTTACTCTATGAAAGGTATTCATCATCATCATTTTTTTTTCTGTTGGGGTTAAATTCCCGATTTCTCCTTTAGCTGCTTCTTCTGATTTTCATTCATTCAGTAAAAAACACTGAATTTATTCTGTCATTTCTGGCAACCATCCATTTGAGTTGTGTGTTTCTCGTTTCTCATTTTTGTGTTCCTGCAAAAATCCTTGTTCTATTCACTTCATCACCATCGCGCTCACCCCTTTCTCCTTGTTTTTACTTTGGCACAATTTTTTGCGTCTGCGTTGGTGCCAATTTCATTGATTTTTCTCGTCCAACGCTCACACACACAGCTGTGCTTTGTTTTGTTTTTCCACTCTTCGTTTTGTTCGTCCATTCGCAAATGCCGCAACTGGTTGTTTTTACCCTTTCCGTAAGTTTTGTGGTTTGCTGGTGTTTACAATATGTGTGTATTTGCAAAATGACAACATTTCCCCCATGGGATTTAGAGGGAAGTATATTCCATTTGGAATCTATAATATTGGAACCATGTGGATGAAATCAACAACCCAGGGACTGTCAGAAATAGTGATAAGTTTAGGGCCCATATCTTTTGATCCACAAAAGATACAGCCGATTTTGGAAATGGCAAATTGTAGTCTATCATTTAGTCTATCATCAGAACTGGAGAGGGGCCATAATGGACCCAAGTTCGACTTTTAGGGAGTTTTTCAATAAAATCGGGGTCCAAACCCTATTTCTTGTTACTGAATCTCTAAAACGGTTTGAACTAACCACCACTTAATTATTTTTATAAGGTTTAAAATGATAACTATTTTATATTCATCGGATCCGTAGAACCGGGTATAACCGGAAACCCGTACCCGAACTTCCGGGTCAAATAAACGGGTACGTCCCCCAAGAAAAAAGTGTAAAATTAACTGCATCTGGAAAAAATGTCGAAAAAATCTGATTCTTTTTTTACTAAACTAAAGTTATCCCAAAAAATTTAGGAGGTTTTTCTAATGGGTGGCCCAAGAGTTTGTAGCGCCTCGAAAATTTGCTCCCAGACCCAGATTTCAGTATACCGATAAAATAATAACTTGGCTAGCTGAATCGATCGCTATTTGAAAGAATTTAATGGACCACAAACTTAATTGTTTCTGTTTTTCTATTCGCTCTAGAGCCACAAAGGTTATATGTCTGGTATGGTGCTGTAAACCCGATTAGAATTGAGGCGGCTGCTGATCTTAATTTTGGGCTAAAATCACACTCGTTTCGTCTAAGTCGTTCGTCTGCTGCTATGGTTGTCTTCAAGTACTCATTCACGTGGTATTCGTCCATAGCTGCGTCCCTGCTTTCGTGTTAATGCTATTCATTACTGCTCGCTAAACATTTTTGTTGGCGTTCTTCTTGAACCTTTGAATCTCTATCTCTTTAGATCGTGTAGGTCTCTCCTTACGTGCCTGGGTTTGGGAATACTGGCTTCGACGATTCCCATGGAACCGGGACAACATCCTTCGCCTCCACATCGACAACATCCTTCGCCTCCTCATGTAAATGACCCACCACGAAAGACAAGACTTTTACACAATGGGCTGAGGTGACAGACGTTGGCCGAGTGAGAATCGGGTCGTAGACATGTCTGTCGCAGAAACGGAGGACACCTTTAGTGATTATCGGTTAATATTTAGGGTGTCAAATGAATATGGGACTGACAAATTTCGGTCTTAACTCAGTCTTTTTTTTTTCCTATGGATCTTATGTTTGGTGGTACTGCCTGCGCCATAAGTCGACATCCAGCAAACTAGACAAGGAGAAAGAGCCGCCTCGATTTTAATTACTGGAGCCGCGAGGAGCACCCCACAATTAACTCTAAACGCAATGCTGAAATTAAGGCCTCTTGGTCGCAGCATTAGGTGTCAGGCAGCGCGTAGTGCCCTTCGGCTGCATGAACAAAATCTTTGGCGTAATTGTGCCCGTAAGCATTGATGTATCCTGAACGAACTAGGTATCACATAGGACCAACGGGTACAACTAAGCGACTATATATAACCAGTCCTGAGATTTGATGATGTAGATGTCGTTAACCCCAGTAGAGACCTCTGGACCGTCTGGACATCAAGTCTGATGTCTTCCTCGGTTGCTTTGAGAAGTTCTTCTACGAACGAGCACAACGAACCTAGGTGCAATGTGTCAAGATCTATCTGGCCGACTCTGTCACCCAAGAGAACAAACACACTGTTGAACCTGAGCAAAGTTGAAATTAGAGTAATGACAAGGAGACATTACTGGTCATTGCAATACCAGTAAGTGGGACCATGATGTTACGGATTACTGCAGACTCTATGATGGCGGGAAGGAGACTAAGACAATTGAGCATCTCCTTCAAAAGAGGAGAAAACTATGAGTGATCCGAGCACAACTAGGACGATGGTGGTTGCTAAGATCTCTGAGCCTTCAGCTACCCCATGGGAAGCCAGAGCGCTGAGAAATCCCCGACATCATCATCCAGAGAGGGTAAGGTACTGTCGAATTGAGCCCTTAAAAAGACCTTCAGAATAGCTGATAGGCACAAACTCCTGAAATGTCAAAACCGAAATCCAATGTTATTCCAATTGGGCAGTTGTTGGAATCCTGACAAGAGTGGTAAGGGTGTGGTGAAAGACAAAACCACCGTCTTCAAGCAAAAACCCAGAAACCTACACCGGCATCTAGCGACACTGATACTCCACCAGAGATACCGGAGGAACGCGAGTAGCAATAATGGAGCGAGCTGACCCCGACGGGATTATCAGTGAGGTTAAATGGTTGTTGGTCGACAGCTATCTGAAAGACCTCTTACTGACCGATGAAGTTGATCCTACGGTTCGGCCAGATCTTAACTGCCTTGAGAAGAGAATTAAGAATTGTGACACTCTTTGGGAAGGTAGTAAGACGGCAGCCTTGTACAAAGGGGTCAAAGTTGTTAACGACCGTACTAATGAGTCTGCGAACTTCCTTAAGAAGATTGATGTGACCCTCTTTGGGGACTTAGTAAGCCGGCAGCCGATCCACAAGATAACGACCGGTATGGTACCCCAGTGTGAATCCCATCACCTTTTAAGAGACTGGAGAAAAGCAGAACAACAGACTTCAGATGAGGAAGTGGAGAATCCTCACCTCACCTCGTTAAAAAAAACAACGGTATTGTCGCATAGTTCGCCACCGACTCTGCTGATAAAGAGTACCTATGGGAAACTACAAACTACCGCCAGTAAAACAGGTAAAACAGACAGCAACTGGCGCTAAACATGGTGCAGATAAATCTGCATCATTGTAAAGCAGCAGCTGCTGAACTGTTCCTCACCCTCTCCTCCGTAAGCACCGACATCGCGATCTTCCAGGAACCATATATGACTTGAGTGACAAAAAAAACTACACGGGTGGGAGAAAGAATACAACATGTCATCATGTTGCCCCCTTTGAATGCGAGTATTTTATCTTCACATCAGTGCAATAGAATTTTGTGCACAATAATGTATAATTGGGGGCAATCGGAAAGCTCTAGAAGTTCCATATATAATAAGATTAATGAAAAGCTAAATGAGATGCATTTTTAATGTAATATAAAAGTACCGTTGGGTAAAAAATCGTCTGGGGCCACTAGAGGGTATCTCGTTTTAATGCGCGATAATTCTAGGTATAATATTTGATCCATATTTTGCATATACATAATATTATTTTTTCCGAACGTACATCAAATTCGAAAAATTTTTAAATTATATACGAAGTGCGTGGATTATAAATTTCCATTCGAACTTTGTAATATGTTTACGATACATTAAGTTCAAAGATTGGGACTATCATTCAACTGCTTCTCTACAAATGGTCAACGTTTAAATGAAATATATCATATAATTTGTTCGATACCGGCACATACACTCGGAAGCACTGATATCAAAACAAAAGTTTATTGCACATTATATCAAAAACTATTACTAATTTCAACTTCATTTTTTCTTGCAGAATAGATCTCCTTCACGCACAATTCTGATAGAGGGGAATTAACTACAATATATTAAACAAAAGCAACTAATCAATCAGCAATATTTTGCTGAATTTTCGCCGTCAGCAAAAAAAGAAAAACAAAACCCAAACACTTGCCGCTTAATCGCCGGAAACTACACTTTCTAACCCGCCGCGTTGAGCACAGCATGAAAAGACGTGATGGGAGCGTTCCTGGATAAACCGAGAACGAACAAACACAATGACAGCGGTGAGGGAAACAAATTGCTCTTCGGCGTTAGTTCGATGCAGGGCTGGCGCTGTGAAATGGAAGATGCATACTATGCCCGAGCTGGTCTTGGCAATGGTTTGGACGATTGGTCTTTCTTTGCTGTGTTCGACGGACATGCTGGTCATAAAGTGTCCGAGCATTGTGCCAAGCACTTGCTGGACAGTATTGTTAGCACAAAAGAATTTCAGAGCGGCAATCATGTGAAGGGCATACGTAAAGGTTTCCTAGACATAGACGAAGATATGCGTACGCTGCCCGAACTTAATGAGAATGCGGCGAAATGTGGTGGTACAACAGTGGTGTGTGCATTCGTCTCACCCACAAAGGTGATTATAGCGAATTGTGGTGATTCACGAGCGGTCTTGAGCCGTGACGGTGTGCCGGTATTTGCTACACAAGATCACAAACCAATATTGCCGGAGGAAAAGGAACGTATACACAATGCTGGCGGTAGTGTGATGATCAAACGGGTCAACGGTACACTGGCGGTTTCACGGGCATTGGGCGATTATGATTTCAAGAATGTCCAAAATAAAGGGCAGTGTGAGCAGCTGGTTTCACCCGAACCGGAAATATTTTGTGCAGGACGTCAGGATGAAGATGAGTTTCTAGTTTTAGCCTGTGATGGCATCTGGGATGTTATGAGCAACGAAGATGTCTGCAGTTTTATACATTCGAGGCTTAAAGTATCCAATGATTTGGTGAATATAGCTAATGAAGTTGTCGATACGTGTTTGCATAAGGTAAGTGAGAGAAAGAAAGAAGGGTAGATTGTTTATATAATAAACTAATGGTTATTTTGTCTTACAGGGCAGCCGAGATAATATGAGCATCATAATAATAACCTTTCCTGGAGCACCTAAACCTACCGAAGAAGCTTTGGCAAGCGACAGACGGTTGGACAAACAAATCGAAAAAATTGCAAGAGGTTGTTTTAAATGCATTTTATGTTTTTAGAAAAGTCAAATGGCTTTATTACTACTAACAAATTCTTTATTTAATTAATATTCTAACAATTCATATCAAAATGAAAATAATTTCCTTAACAAAAATAATCGCCACACCGAAAATATAATTCATTATTTATATTATAAAGACATTTACTATCAGTATTAATTATTATTATGTACCTGTTTGTTAACCAAAGAAGTATTATTTGTTTATTTTAAACAAAAAATTATTGTGTCGCACACGAGACGATATGAGTCTGATATTTCATGAAAATGAAAGTAAAAACAAAAAATCTTATGAATATATTTTTAGAGAAATCGAATTGCAAAATAACAACACCAACAAAAACGTATCGACTATAATCAAATTAAAATAATATATATGTACCTATCATTTATACAATAACATTTACGATAATGCTAGTTGTGATAGTAAACTTTGCCTTATGCTCACCACATTTATATGCTATTATATAATCAATTAAGAATCAAGAAACAAATCCTTATAAAGACCACCCTATGCTTGAAGGTTAAACAAAAATGATAACAAAATTAATTTTATTAATTTGTTTGTTGTGTATATTCCTTTATATTCAAAGACCACAGTTTATCTTTACTAATTTACATGCATTCAATGAGCTATAAAAAACAACTACATATAAGGTTTTTAATTTAAATTTAACCTATAAAAAAGAAAAATCCAAACTAAAAACGAAAACATCATTCGGAGTGTCACGTGCCTTTTGATTTTAAACTTTGAGATTGTCTATATATTTGTTGTATCTAGAGAATGTCTCTGAATAGTGTTCAAATTGTGAGCATAAGGTATGTTTAATTTAGTTTTAATTTTTAAAATTATAAATATGTATCATTTTTTTTAATATTTTATTGAATGTTGCAAAAGAAAAGTAAAAAAAAATATTTTACAAGAGCATTTTGGGAAGTTCTTAGCCTAGCACAAAAAACACTATAAACAGAAAAAAAGTTAAGTGTTTTGAAAACTTTCATCTCTGTTATGAACACATGCTAAATTTTGTTTCGATCTGGCAACTCCTTCATATAGAAACAGGTGTTCAAAAAAGACGCATGCGCATTTTTTTACAATGAAAGTCCGCATTTCTAATTTTTCCTTGTAAAAATTGCGGATTCGTCTTTTTTGAACACCTGTTTCTATATGAAGGAGTTGCCAGATCGAAACAAAATTTAACATGTGTTCATAACAGAGATGGAAGTTTCCAAAACACATAAATTTTTTCTGTTTATACCGCGCTTTTTGTGCTATAGGCTAAGAACTTTCCGAACTGCCCTCGTATATATCTAATGCATGACTGCCAGATTTATTTTTATGTTGAACACATTTAAATATTCCGCGTATTTGCTTATTTGGTCGATTTGAATATTGTTGATGCTATCACATAAGTAAATTTTAGTCATCACTGTAATTATAATATGTATACACATTTTATTAAATTTGAATTAGATATTCTTATTGACAATTTTGTATTTTAACTTAGCCCTAGTTTTTGTAAAGGAAAATACACATTTACAACACTGAGAAGTCGAGAAACGTTTCGTGTGCCATCTGTCGTTTAACGGATCTCAAAACAATTTATTGAGGATTGATGGAATACCTTTATCTTCCAGTTATTGTGTTATAAATGTGTTAATTAATATTAATTTTTAGCTATTGTTTACAAAAACAAGGGTACAAATTCGTAATATATATACGAGATTAAATAATATATAAGCAGTATTGAAAATATTGAAGTCGAATTTGTCAAGAATAGTAATTTTTTGTTGTGAGTTCTAAAAAATAATATAATAAAAAATAATTAATAATATAATAATAAATAATAATTAATATCGGAATCACGAAAATAAATAAATTGAAATTAAAATTGATATGTTCGGGAACAAAACTTCATAAAATTCAGCGTACCGCACAAAAATATTTAATTCAGCTGAAATATAAACAAACCTTGTACTCATTTATATTTAGCAATTGATTTATTTTTATTCAAAATGCAGATTTGATGTATTTTGGTATTAAATTTAAAATATGTTCTTGTAATCATGTTCGACAATATTTTCAAATACTCCGACACTAATAATGTAACTTTTTTCTAAAGTAGTTTGCTAATTTCAACACAATCCATTTTTATTAATAATTGTTACCATAATAGCTGTGTATTAATTTTTGCATTTCTCTCTTTTTTATTGCAGAGGAAATTGAAAGTAATGATATCACATGTTGTGGCGAATTATTTGAAGCTTTACAAAGTAAAAATATAGAAGGTCTTCCACCCGGTGGCGGTCTACATTCAAAGTAAGTAAACACACTTTTTTTCTTGGAGACAATTATTTTCTATCAGAATGTGAATCGGATATATAAGTATGTTTCATTGTTTATTCGCAACTTCCGCTATCACCGCAAAGACATCGATATCACCACCACGGTGATATCGATGTAGTCGCTAGGAAATATTAAACAAGAGTCTGTACTCTTCCAGAATCTTTGACGGGCCTCTGTAGAAAAAAGTTGCAAGCTACCACCGACCAGTGCAATTGAAGGCAAGGGCGTTTAGAGCCTGCAGTAATTTCTTTACAATAGCTACTACTCACTCCTTCCGAAAAACAAGCCACTACTAAAAATCCACTCCACTATCAAAATTTTGTTTTGTTTCAGAACAAGTCTTCGCCGCTTGTCTTCAGTATTGCCTTTTTCCAGCAGGAGGAAAACTATACATAGGAATTTCCTGTCTACCACTCAAACTTTTATGAAAAGGATATGGTTCGTAAGCATGGTCTGGATGCTCTTCGTTAATTATTAAGGGAATATCATCCTTACTTACTTAGCTAACTCGAGACAGAACATTTGTTCCATAAGCCAAACGAAGTTGTTCCAGTTGAAAGGCCATGCTTTGATATGTCATCCTACACTTGATATTTCCATCGAATTTGTGTCCTTCCCCTACTTCATGAATCATCAGAAGGCTCGCTTTTATAAGCCTTTTGAGCTGGGGAATTCTCATCCATTCGCACAACATGTCCTAGCCACTGTAGTCGCTGCAGCTCGATACGACTGACTATGTCGATGTCCGTGTTAAAGCTCGTGGTTCATTCCTATTCAATTTCTTCAAATGTGGCTGTGACCGCTCGCAACGTACGACCCCTTATGTAGATGTCATCTGCGAAGCGATAAACATGTGTTGTTTGGTGTACAGAGTGCCATTTCTGTTCACCTTTCCCTCTCGTATGACCTTTTCCAGCAGGATGTTAAAAAATTCACACGAGAGGCTGTCACCTAGTCTGGATCCTCGTTCTGTATTAAAGGGCTCCGAGAGGTCCTTTCCGACTTTGACTTCTGACCTTGAGACAGTTAAAGTTATCCTCCATATCGGGAGGAATGGAGGATAACTTTCTATGTCTGCGGGAATTCCGATGGCAGACATAGCTTTAAACACCTTTGAACGGATAGGGCTGTCGAATGCGGCTTTATAGTTGACGAATAGGTGGAATGTTTCGATATGTTTTTCGTGGATTTTTTCCAGGATTTGCGCAGAGTAAAAATCTGGTCAATGGTGGATTTGACAGGTCTGAAGCCGCGTTGATATGGTCCACTGCTTTATTATTATTCAGCCGATTCATTGCTACTCTTATTGATTCTGGTGTATATTCTTCTCCACCACTATTGGATACTACAGGAGGATATGCATGTAACAAAGTCTTCGGTTTGGTGTTTTACTCTTTGGAAAATTTTCCGGACTTCATTCTGAGTCCTGTAAATCTCGGTTTCTTCACGCTCATGTTTTTCTTGTTCCTACTTCTTCCTTTTAAAAATACGTTTCTCCTCTCTCATTTTCTTCTGAACCCAAGTTTTGCCTTTGCTGCAGTCTTTAGGGAGTGGGCAATTCTTTGCCATTATGCTTCTGTGTTATTATCAGGACAAGGAGTGATTTCGTCTAGCAGTTGGGTAAGTCCAACGTAGTAGGCTTCAGCTATCAGTTGTGTTTGTGGCTTTTCGACGACGAGTTTCCGTGTTACATTAGATCGTACCTTTGCTGCATTAAGATGGGTGCGAACATTGGCTGCCACAATGTAATGGTCCATATGGATATTCGCCCAAAAATATTTTCCCTTTCGATTTTTGCATTAAAATACCCAAGTAAAATTTCAATGTCATGGCCAGGGCAGCTGTCCGACGGTGGGATCAACAATATTTTCCCTTCCGATGTTTTCAATTAAAATCTCTTAGCTGAATTTTAACGTCATGGCCAGGGCAGCGATCATATGCTGTTTCTACGTTTAAAACTGAGATTACCATGTTTTCTTTTTGTTGGAAGATTTAGAATTGTCATAAAAAATAATATTTTCTAATTTATTAAATTTTTATTTAACCGATATCTTTTATTTTTCTCATTTCAGGTATCACATTATAGAGCGAATATTTAAGGAAATGTTTCCCGAAGACCAATGTGAAGTACGCAATATTTTTTATAATATGTGAAGCAAAAATTCTTATGATTATTGCTTTTTAACAATATATAGCAGCAATGCAGTAATTTGCACAGTTTTGAGTTCTTGCTTTATTTTTAATATATTTTATATTATAACGAAATAATCAAGTTTTGGGAAATCCATACTTTCCAAGTTATGATGTTGTAAAGATCAGGAAAAAAATATTTCAATGAATTAATTTTTGGTACTAACACTTCGGAACATCATGCCTAAGGAAGCTGGGATTTCTCCTTGGAGAATAACTTGTTGGCAACAGGATAATAATTGTATCCTGTGGAAATTTTGTTTTTCATATAGACTTCCTTAAAGAACTGTTGGTCTTTTATTTGTAACATCCTTTGTTTATTTTCCCACGCCAAATAAAAGTCCTCAAAAAAATATTTTTAAAAAACCCACTCCTATTAATAGTACAAAATTAAAAATAATTTAATTTTTATTGGTCGCTGCTGTATGTGTCTGATTTAAGGGGACCCCCCCTTAAGGGACCCCCCCTCTTGAAGATATAGCCGATTTATTGTGTCAGCATCAAGTGTCGGCTGAAAGGCTGCTATAACTTTAAACGCGTTTTTCCCTAAACATTTTTTTTGCGAATGGCGGGCACGATAACTCAAAAACTAATAATCCAATCGGTTCCAAATTTTGCAACGCTTCTCTGGGAGTGTATAGCTCTCGTATGAACTAGGATAAAGCCAATCGGTGAAGATCTTCCTTATTTTTAACTTGGTTTTTGGTAAAAAATCCGCGATTTTCCAAAAATATTTTTTCAAAGGTCCACCATTTAGTTCCGATGTTCCAGTGAGGAATTATCATGCCCGCCATCAAAAATAAGGACTTTTCTTTAATTACAAAAAACAATAACAACAATTTTTTGTAAATTATTTTTCTTTTCTTTTAAATCTTCAATTATATATGTGCAAAGTTACAAACCTTAACAAGCATTTGTATTCATTTACCAGCACATTGAAAAATTAAAATTCCCTTAATTTTACTTTATTTTTTTAGCGTTATACATATTAACTATTAAAAAATGCAAAATCCCTATGTAATCTCCCCATGTTACATGTAATATTAACAATTTATATGTTTTGTTCTCTTTTTCTCTTCCCTATCCTGATGTATATTCGTGTCTGTGTGTCTTCATTTACTGCAACTGCATTTAGACGGCGCCACATTGAAAACCGGATGAAACAGACTTTTTATAAATGATAAAGTGCAAATTTAACAAAAAACAAATCAACAAAAAGCAGCATCAACATCAACCACACACAACAACCAAAAAAATAAAAATAATACAAAACAACAAGGCCGAAAAGGGCGTAAAGGAGACGAATCGCCAAAATAACAACAACCACAACACTGTTTTTTACATTCAACAGAAAAATAGAAAAACAAAACAAAGCAAATTTTATAAAAATTTCCATGTTTTTTTCATACCAAAACCAACGACGAGCCTATATAAATGTCATCCCAAATAAAAGTAACAAAAAAATACAATTTTTTTATATAAAACCACCACTCCCTCTACCATCATCTATACATTGTTAATTTTACCATACAATTTACTAAATACAATTTATTTTTTGTTTATGTTTTTTAGTGATTTTTTCTTTAGCCTTTTTTATGTAAAATACCGAAAGACCGAAGAAGAGGATTTTTTTTTTTTGTGAAAGAACAAAGGTTTTATTTTATTTTAATTTTTTATTACATTTTTAACAGTCATTCTTTTAGTCAGTCTATTATTATTACTATCATCAAACAACACCACCACTCAATCCCCAAAATTCTGTGAAAGTGAATATATATATACTTAAAAAAAAAAAAAAAAAAAAACAACAAAAAATTGCAATAAATTCTATATTCAAAGGAATTCGCAAACAACAATACTTTTTTATATTTAAAAAAAAAGAAATTTGTAAAAACAAAAAAAAAATACACCTAAAGATTGTCCCATATTACATACATACGTACAACATTATTAATTTACACACACAACTATTCTGCAACACCGGAACCCTACTTACTACTACTAGAACCTACTTCTACATCAACTACAATAATTATCACACCTACATCAAAACAATACAAAAGGACATACTTAAGAAATTGGCCGTAGCAGTTATACAATAAGACCTTGAAGCCGGAGAAGACGTTGAAGAAGCCGTTGATGGAGGAGAAGAATACGGAAAAACCCCAATTTATAATCCTTAATTGTAAGTTTTTAAATAAATAGGAATCATATACATATATATATTTAATGAAGAAAAAAAAAAAAACAAAACAAAAAGTATATTTAACAGAAAAAGGGAAACGTACACAAAATATATATAGAAACAAAAACAAATAATAATAACAACAAACAAATGTAATGTTTGCACACAACACAGGGATTCCTTAATGTTATTATTATTACTATTATAAATATTATCATTATTATTTGCTGGTGTTTTTTTTTTTTTTTTTTTGGTATCAAACTTTTTTCCTTATGGCTTGTAGGAGATATAAATTAACGGTGTTATTTTTTTGTATTCTTAGTTTCATAAAAAATATGTAAAATAAATATTTAATGATCACTGAGACACAATGGGATGATTTTCCACATTGTCTCTAAGTGATCATTAAATATTTCAGTAATGCTGGCGATATTTCTTCTCTATGCATTTTAGCCTCTAAAACTGGCGAATTTGTAGTGCTTTCATTTATTGAAATGTCGTACGTTATAGGTGAAAAATAATTGAGCATACATAGATGTTTTCAAAAAAAATCCTCAAGGAAAAATATGGTGAACGTTCCCAAATTAGTGTCTTCCTTCAGAAAAAAGTCCCTTTAAAATATTGATAGAAGTTGACAAAAAATATATTTGTCCTTGATCATACCTGGATCCTCATGGAAAAGTTCAAAGCGATCAGCTTTATATTTCCGCCCTCTAGTGTGGTAATGGGTTACTAAATAATATATGAATACGTAAGCACCTGTAATTACTTAAGTGTATCTTCCACATCCGAGTACATACGACAATATAATTGGTAAAAACAAAAATTAAATATTTGGTCCATTTCATGCTCTAAACCGATCGTTACCAAAATAGGGGTCTTCATTGGGCACAACCCATCTTCATTGGGCAGAACCCATCCTACATGCATAATTTCGTGAAGATTGGTCCATAACTGTGGTCTGTATCGTGTTTTCAAATTAGGACCAATATTTCGCGGCGTTACAAACTCTTTGGGCTGCACAAAGCTATAATACCCTGATAACATAGTTGTTTAGGGTATAATTATTAACAGTGATCTAAGTTTCAGGGCTGCGTAGGGGATGATAGATACCAAGCAACGTCTCTGATTGGCTTTAACATGGTGAAGCCCAGGCTTAACTTGGTTCCTCTTTCATCTCAATTGTGGATACTGACCTCCCCGCGGTTTCACCTGGGGTAGATATTTTCAATATCCATTGGAACCCGACCACCGCAAACGTGTAAAGGACCACGATCTGCGAAACGTATAAAGGACCACGATCTGCGAAAAGTATAAAGGACCACGATCTCTTGGAATGTGCGCACGTTGTACAGAACGGGCAAAGTTTTCGCATTGGCGGATGTACACAAGAAGTACAAAGCCGATATTATTGCCTTACAGGAAATGCGATGGAAAGGGACAGGCGTAAGTAAATCAGATTGCGCACTGTATTATAGCTGCCATGAAGCGAAACATGAATTTGGCTGCGAATTTATGGTTAACAGGCGAATAAAAGATCTCGGCTCCAGATTCACTCCAGTAGATGAGCGAATTGCTATCATCCGTATTAAAGCGAAGTTCTTCTACATCAGTCTTATTTGCGCCCATGCTCCGACCGAAGACAAAGATGAGCAGACCAAAGACAAAGATATTTTACAAGCGCCGCTGCCCTGGCCATGACATTAACAGGAGAAACGTATTTTCAGAAAAAAGAAAGAACAAGAAAAACGTGAGCGTGAGCTAATCTAGGTGTATAGGAGTCAGAATGAAGTCCTGAAATTTTACCAACGAGTAAAAAACCGAAGGCTTTGGCGCAGGTACATCCTCCTGTTTAGATGAAAAAGGAAACCTGGTGTCATATACAGACATTGTGTGAAGGAGCATTTTGAAAAGCTTTTTATACCCTACACAACTATGTTGTCAGGGTATTATAGCTTTGTGCAGCCCCAAATGTTTGTAACGCCGCGAAATATTGGTCCTAGACCCATATCTCGACTAGCTGAGTCGATCTAGACATGTGTGTCCGTCCGTCTGTCCATTATAATTTGTAAACACGATACAGGCCACAGTTATGAACCAATCTTCACGAAATTTTGCATGTAGGATGGGTTCTGGCCAATGAAGACACCTATTGTCTTTGGAAAAGATCGGTTAATATTTAGGGGATGAAATGGACCAAATACTAAATTTTTGTCGGTTTTTCTGGTCGCTCCAGAGGCCGCAATTATGGCCCAAACACCGCGAATTTTTGCATGGAGAAGGGGATCGGGCCAGAGAATAAGCATGCATGTTTTGATAAAGATCGGTCAATATTTAGCGGGTCAAATGGACCCTGACTTTTGTGTGAAAAATGACAAAATTTGTATTCTATGGCATATATATTTACTCCTGGAGGATGTAGACCCCAGGAGTTGATAGCATATCCAAGAGGAGTGGTTGGCCTTTAAATTGATACCAAATATAGTGATGTATTTACTCAGATGTGGGAGTTACAGCCAAATATTTACAGGTGCTTACGTATTCAGATATTATTTAGTAACCCATTACCACATTAGAGGGAGAAATATCGCGCTGATGGCTTTGAAATGTTTCATGAACTTGCAGTTATAGTCAAGAACAACGCCTACAATTTTCGGTGATGATCAGATTAAAATTTTGGGATGAAATGGATGGAAAACATAATTTTTTGTGTGTTTTGGAGTAGAGTATAATCCGAAAATCACAACACAACCCACCGTGAAGGTAATCTGGACAAGTAATTAGACCTCAATATGAGGTCAGAAAGCAATTAATCGGCTGAAGAACAACAAAGCAGCAGGTGCCGATGTCAGATACTGGTCAGGTGCATGCACCAGCTGATTAGTACAATTTGGCTAGTGGAATGCATGTCCAATGACTGGAACCTAAACATCCAGTGTCCCGTACACAAAAAAGGAGACAAGACGGCAACACCGACTTACATTTTTTACCAGGATTTACCAAGGGAAATTCCGGTCATATTTTCCAACCTAGTTGGTTCTTATTTGATATTTTGAGTTATCACCCTAATAAAAATTACAAAGGTCCAGCCCTTTAAATTACAAAAATTGGTCGATCATCGCATATTGCCCCTTTATAGTTTATTTGATGGTCCTAAGCGCATTATCCAATCGATGTGTCGATATTTTAACATTACGAAGTGGCATTTTGGAATCATGGTGGTGGGTATACCACATCTTTACAGAACATTCAATTCAATATAAGTCAATGTTTCTTCATAGCCCCCATGCAAACGTCTTCAGTTTGGTATTTCGTTTTATTTTGGCTTTTCGGTGGCACCGATAGATTTTAGATATTTTATAGGTCCACCTCCATTATATAGGGTATAAATTGAATGTCGGTTTTTGCTCCTTATTCTACTTTTAGCACCCTGAAGAGTTAGTTTTTTTAACCTTCATCATAAAGTGGAGAGGAGTGTATATAAATCCTCCCGGCAGCAAGTTGCCAAAAGTATCCACCAATTTGTAGGTATTTCAAATGCCCATCTCATAGTGAAATTCGGCACAAATGAACTTGAGAAAGATTTTACTAGTTAACATTTCAGACTCTTTTTTTTAAATGTTTCAAAGAGTACAAAGTTTTATATTTTCTACAAGCCAAGCATAACCTTACAAATAATTATTTTATATTTTGATTATAATTTTTATTCAAACTCTTATTTTTTTCTTCTCTTTTTATTTTTAGTAATGAAATCTATGTTCAGCTTTAATTTTGTTTGTGCGAAAAGGAGTTCCATTTTAATTTAGAAAAGTATTTATTTTTTTAATAATAATTAATGGCGAAACTAATTCCTATTTTATCTCTGCTGTCCTCATCCAGCTCCCAGTGAAATGAATAAAGTTTTATTTTGTATTTTTTTCTTTCGTTTATTTTTATAGCTAACGTAACAATGTGTAGTTTTTTTAATTTTCTTTGTATTAAAAGTG